GAAAAGAAAAAATATGAGAAAAGGAAAAAAATGGAAACAAGGTCTTTGCAAATAGGAAAGGGTGGAGGGGGTGAAGGGAGGGCAGGGGAAGTGGAAAAAAATAAGAATGAAGATACTCATGTAAAGGTACAAAATCCCAATGATGAATGTAACTGTATTTTATACCTAAAATGTACCAATAAACTTAATGGGGAAAAAAATTTATTTTGAGACAGGGTCTCACAAAGTCACTACATTGCCCTGGTGGGGCTCAGGTCAAACTTTCTATTATTTTTGCATCATGTATTTTTAAGCTTTCTTATTAGGTACATAGATGTCTATGCTTTTTATGTCCTTACGATGAATTGCCTATTATTTGTGAAGTGACCATCTTAAATCTTGGTAATATACTGTGTTCTCCAGTGTAACTTGTTTGATATTATTATCTTTCTATATATGTTTTGATTAGTGTTTTACATGGAATATGATTTCCTAAGTTTTTGCTTTAAACTTATTTGTGTATATTTAAAAGGAGTTTCTATAGGCATCATATAGCTTAGCCTTGCTGTTTTCTAAATCTGATATTGACAGTAATATTTTAACTGGGATGTAAATACTATATATTTAGTATGGTATTGATGTGGTTGGGTTTAAATCTACCATCTTGCAGTTTGTTTTCTAGTTATCTTACTAGTTCTTATTTTACCCCCTCTTTTCTCTCATTTTGTGTTGCATTTTTTATGATTCTTTTTTACATTTCTTAGGTTATTAACTATAGTTTTATTTTTAAGTAGCAATTGCCTTCTGGTTTATACTTTATAATACACATCTTTAACTTTCCACAGTTCATCTTCAATTAATTTTATACTACTTTATAGTATAAGAACTGTACCAAAGTATGTTTTCATTTCTGCTCTTACTGGGCTTTGTGTGTTGTTGACATCATTAAGCCATAAATGCATTATTATTTTTACTTATGTCATTACCTTTTAAATATAAATTTTAACATATTTTATATTTATCCATATGTTTATCATTTCTAGTGTTTTTTTCTTTGTGTACCTAGATTTATGTTTGTATAACCAGATACCATCCAATATCATTTCCTTCTAGTTAAAAGTCTTTCTTTAGCATTCTTTTTAGTGCAGGTCTTTTTGTGATGAATAAATGCCTTTATTTTACTTTCATTTTTGTAAATAAATTTTGAGCAGTATTGACATATTTTCTTCTACCCCATTTCTTCAATTCCAACTATAACAGGCCATTTGACATTGATCCACAGCTCAATAATTTACTATTTTGCCTCCTCCCAGTCTTTTTTTTTTCATTATAATTTGGATGTTTCCATTGATGTGTCCAAGTTTGCTAATCTTTCATGAATTTTTAAAAATCTTTAAATGTTCTATTTGAGATAGATAATATCTTTCATATAATAATATATCATATTATCATTTCATATTATCTTTCATATTCATATGAAAGAAATCTTTCACATATCTACTTAAATGTGCTCAGTATTTACCTTTTTCAACATATACAAAATAGGATTATAAACGTCTTAATATATTATGCTTTCTATTCTATTTCTGATTTTATCTTTATTAATTGACTTCTCATGAGTTTTTTCTTTTTGCTTACCTGCATGTTTGATTGTGATACCTTTTAAGTTTACCTTTTTGGGGTCTAGAGTTTTTTGTGATTTTATAATTATTCTTAATCTTTGCTCTGAATGTAGTTCAGTTATATGGAATAGTCTGATTTTTTTTCTTTTGTGGCCTTTTTTTAAAGCATTATAAGCAGGACAAAAGCAGCCTTTATCCAAGAGATGAATTTTTTTCAGTATGACAACAGTGATTCTTTGAGTGCTTTGCATGATGTCCTGTGAATTTTGAGAGTTTCCATTCAAAATGATAGAAAAATTTCTGGCTTTGTCTGAACATTTCTTTTTTCTTGGTTCATTTTTTAATTTATTATTTTAAAAGGAATCTGTTTTAATATTGGTTTATTCTTCAGGAAAGATCTTATTTCCTTCTTGGCTTGTTTTTTTCTTCAGTTTATAGTTTTATCGAACCTGTTCTCTGATCAGTACTTAGCTAAAGAGCCTTTCTTAGATCGCTAGAGTTCTTTTTTTGTGTTACTGTTTCTTGTTTACTATTCTGCCTCGTGAACTCTAATTGTTCTTGGCCTCCTCAGTCTTAATTCTGTTGCCTCAACTCAAGAGAACTTGGTAGATTCCTGAGTTCCCATCCCCATGCTTTGGCCTAGAAACTCTCTAGGCAGTAAGGTGGGGCAATAATATTCACTACATATTTAAAAAAAATCTCTTTCAGTAGTTACTGTCATTGCTCACCTGATATGCAATGTCTAAAAACTATAGTTCTATAAATTTTTTCTATACAGTAAAACCTTGGATTACAAGTAACTTGTTCTGTGAGTGTTCTGAAAGATGAGCAGACATTTCTAACCAATTTTAACTTGATAAATGAACCATATTTTGCAATGGGAGTAGTATGTGATGCAGAATGTCACATGATCACAACTGAGCCAGTGATTCTCTCTGCCACCCTCCTCCTTCCTCTCCTTCCCCTCCCTCCCTCTCTCTCCCCCTCTCTCCCCCTCTCTCCCTCTCTCCCTCTTTCCCTCTCTCCCTCTCTCCCTCTCTCTCTCTGATAGCGCGTGATAGTCTCCAAACAGCAGGAGGTTATGTAGGAGATCTCTTTTGCAGAGGAGGAAGAGAAGCAGGCAGAGGAATCTCTCATTTCAAATGAGATTAGGGAAATGTGTAAAATGCAGGGTATAGTGCAAAATTTTATAGAAAAGCACCACCCAAATAGGCTGTAGCAGTGCAAGCAATGAATCTGTTTAATGACACACACAAAAAAATCACATTTCTATAAAATCCTCAAAAGGAGGCAAAACCAAGTGGCATTGGATAGGTTCCTTTGAAAAGTTTCACAAAAAATATGATTCCATTGAACCAATAGATAGAAGTGATTCTGATAGTGGTAGTAAAAGTTGTCCTACACAATAAGCCTCCTTTCTTGACTCCCTCAAACCAGCCAGGAAAGTTTTCAAAAGTAAGTGCAGGTTAATTTGTTTATTTTTCTTTATGCTTTGTTTTATTATTATTTTGTATTATGCTTATGAACCTAGGTTTTACTGTACTTTTTAGTTGTTTAGGTGAAAGGGTAAAACTGATGCTGGTTTCTTCATTATCACTGGGAAGGGAAACTGTCATGAAGTTTATATCAGAAACAAATGATAATGCAGAAACACAGAAATACATATAATTTGGTACAAGATATATTAATAAATGTTGTTTTATAATGTTTTCTGATTCTCCTTCCTTCCTTCCATATTCCCTACTTTTCTTTTTCTCTTTGATATTAACTTTCTTAATATAGTGACTCCTAATATATTACTAGTTATTTCCTAGTATTTCCATTTTAAAAAATCTTTATGGTGATCTTTTTATATTTTATATTTTAATGTAGTCAAATATTTCTTTAGGCTTTATGAGTTTTAAATTATGATTAGGAGATTTCTGTATATATCAAGATTATCAGCATACTTAAATATTTTGCTAGTTGTATTGTTTCACTTGTTACATTAAAATATTTGGCTCATCTTGAGCTTATTTTAGGGAAAGAAGTGTTTAGTCAGTTAAATCTGAAATTAAATGAGATGGATGTAAAATCATAATTTCTATTTTACTTTATGGGAAGGAAACTGCTACCTTTCAATTTTTTTTTACTTATTCTTTTTGCAAACTACTAGAATATGAAACATCTGTGCTATATAATTTGTGTAAACTAAGATTTTTCAATACTTCATTTTTTAAAAAAGATTAACTAAAATGCAAGATCTTTGTTTTTTAATGTTAGTTTTTACTCTACTCTTTGATTTCTATGCTAATTAAAATTCAGAATCCTTAACTTTTATTATGTTAGACTTGGGAGACCTGGTGTCGATTGTTACTGCCAACATGAAAGTGGTGCAGCTGTCTTGCAGCTCCAATTCTTGGTTAATGAGGTAAGAATTTTTTTTGACTATTTGAAATTCATAATACACTGCTTTCTTTTAAAACATCTACACACACAAACACACAGACACTCATACCAAATAGCAGGTTGAGTATCCCTTATTTGAAATGTTTAGGACCATGAATGTTTTAGATTTTATTTTTGTGTTTTTTTCTTTTTGGATTTTGGAACATTTGCATAAACATATAATGAGTTATATTGGAAATGAGATCCAAGTTACATGAAATTTATTTATATGTCATGTGTACCTTATACACATAGTCTGAAGGTAATTTTATAAAATATTTTCAATGTGCTTGCATTTTGACTGCAACCCATCACATGAAGTCAGGTTTGGAATTTTACTCTTGTTGCATCATATTGGCACTCAACAAATTTCAGATTTTGGAGCATCTGGTATTTTAGATTTTTGGATTAGGAATGTTCAATCTGTAAGTGATACATTCTTTTAAAATTATGTTTCTATATGTTTGAAAGTATATGTATGCAATATTATTCATGGTCACATTTTTCATAAAAGAGTATACTTATATGTTTATCAATTTATTAAATTTTAAAGGAAAATTTTTTATGTACAAAAAGATGCTGTTGTTGCAACTATATAGCATAATATAGATTAATTTTTTTCTTTAAACTTAAAGGCCTTTAATTTCTTTACTGGCCATTAAACTTTCCTTCTATCTGCTCTTTTCTTACAACTTAAATTTTATAATCCAGCCCTAACTGTGTGTGTTGCTTTTATCTTTAATAGTCTTTTTCAAAATTTTATTAGGACATGTGTATAGTGCATAATATTTACATTCCTTGTGTGAAGTTGGTACATGTACATAACACATACCAATTCCTTTTTTTCATAGCTTTTCTCCTTCCTTCCCTTTCCTTTCCACCCACCTTTTGACCCCCTTTCTTTTTATTTTGCATGTTTTTAGATACTTTGTGTAGAGTTGGTACATGTAAATAACACATCTTAATTTCTTTTTTATCCCCAATTCTTCCTTTCTCGCCCCCCTCCTCCACTCTTGTCTTCCTCTTTGAGAAAGATCTATCTCTCTACTTCCTATTTCCTTTTATTTTGCTCTTTATTTTTACTTTTGGTTTCTCATATAAGAGAAACCATGCAATATTTAAACTTGTGTGTCTGATTCATTTCACTTAACATTATAGTCTGAACTTGGCACCTATTTTCCTATGAATGACTCAAGCTTATCTTTCTTTATAGCAGAGTAGTACTCCATTGTGTGTAAATACTACATTTTCTTTATCCATTTATCTGTTGATAGGCATATAGACCATTACCACAATTTAGCTATTATAAATTGAAGTGGTATAATCATAGGTATGCATGTATCTTTAACTCTTTCTAGAAGATACCTAGAAGGATAGTAGCTGGGTCAATTGAAATTTCTGTCTTCAGTTTTTTCAGGAATCTCCACGCTGATTTCCATAGTGGTTGTATATTTTATATTTCCACCAAATATGTAGAAAGGTTTCTTTTTCTCAGCAGCCTTGTCACCATTTGTTATTATTTGATTTCTTGATGATGGCCATTCTCCCTGGGGTATTTTTACTTTGCATATCTCTATGATTAGCATTTGTTTATGTATTTATTGGCTGTGCTTCTTCTTTTGAGTATTGTCTATTCATTTTAAGTGCTCTTTTTTGATCAGGTCTTTTATTTTGGGAGTCTAATTATGTTGAGTTCTTTATTCTAGATACTAGTCCTCTGTCTGAGGAATAGTTGGCAATTTTTTTTTTCCATCCTGTAGGTTGTCTTTTCACTGTATTTGTTGTTTCTTTTGCTTTTCAGAAGCTTTTAAATTTAATATGATCCCATTTGTTGATTCCTGGTACTATTTCTTTACAACTAGGGTTCTGTTCAGAAAGTCCTTTCCTATGGCTATGACTTCAAGAGTTTTACTCATTTTGTCATGTATGTTTTATTAATTCTATAGGACATATTCTATTCCACCATATACCAAGTGTTCTACATCTCTTGAGAAATGAGATTAGTATGTTTTTATCTCAAAAATTTAATTGTAGTTCATCAAGTATTTTCAAGAAATTCTAATAGCTTTTTAGTTTATGTATAGGAAGCATATGTACAGTTTTCAAATAAAACATGCAAGCAAACAGAAGAATATTTAGGACATGTATAGGGTATCTCTTACTGCATAATATGAAATTATGAATTCATGTTTAAATACATATCAATGTATGTATCTTTGGACATGTATATTTATGTATATGTAAACATAAACATTTAATTTTTATGGATACACTTTCTGTGTTTTATTTAAATAAAGTTATTCCTCTTTGAAACTAAAATCACAGGTCCATAAAGAGAAACATCATTGGTACAGGAATGTTTTGAGATTAGGAATTGTTTCAGAAAGAAATTTGTATTCCTATCTGCTCTCATCTAACTCCTAAAGAAGAAATAAGTGCTTGGAGTTCCAGTATAGTTCTTTCTGGCATATTAATGAGATAATCATTGTTATATCTGTGACTGATGTTGTGAACTGTGAAAGGTTATTTGTAACACAGTATTTTGGAAAATAGGTAAAGAATTTTTAAGAATTCAAGATCGCCATGGTTCTACTGGATAACTGTTAGAAAATGGTCAATACTCTATTGGAGCTTTAATCACTATCATACAGCAAGAATTTTCTATAACTATTCTGTTAAAACTTCTGATATTTTAAGATGATCGTAACACACTGAAATACTGTCTGTCTGTCTATCTGTCTGTCTATCTAATGTGGCAGCTAGTTGCCTGTCCATATGCTTGTAGCCATGATAAGAAGTAAAAAAAATTGTATTCTATTGTATTTGAAGTAGGATTCATTTGTATCAGGTGATGTTGGATAACATTGGTATTATTTTTACAGTTATACTGAATCTAGTTGAAATCTAGAAAAAAATATTTTCTTTTATTACAGATATTTTTGTTTGTATTAGGTGAACCTTCCTGGGCTATCAGAAGCAGATTAAATTAAAGCAAATATATATTTTTAATAAAAATGTATTTTTCAACTATAAGAAAATTCTTTTGAAGGAGAATTTTTATATGTTGTATATTTGATTTATAAAACTGAGTTAGGGAGCCAGGGATTTAGCTCAATGGTTCTGCTGCTTGCCTTGTAAGACCCGAGTTCGATCCCTGGTACCAAAAATCAAAAACAAAAACAAAAAAACTTGAGTTGGATATTTGCTTCTGTGTAAAGGTATATAGTATATATGTGAAGAGTAAGAACAAAAGAAGTTTAAATTCCATATTTCCTAAAGGAGAAAGAGAAATTGTTTTAAATAGTCGCTGTGATGTTACATCAATCATTTCTCTCTACTAGTAAATGGATATTCATTGAACTAATCATCCCGATTACTCGTATGACATAAGTTACTTGCCTGTTCCACTCAGCATTTTTAACCTTTCTATTGAAGGATATGTAGTTATGCTTCCTTATATTTGCCGATTATATGAACACAAATACCTGTTCAAGCAATGAAAAATTCAGTAAATTAGCTTGCTAATTTTGCTTTCTTAAATTAAGGAAAGCACACACTAACATTGTCTTCTTTTTGTTACAGGGTGCTTTGGTCAGTGCAAGTTCAGATGATACACTTCATTTGTGGAACCTTAGACAAAAAAGACCAGCTATCCTTCATTCTCTTAAATTTAACCGAGAACGGTAAGAACATATGAATTAAACAACTCCAGTGTACAAAAAAATTATTCATTGAGCAAGTTTCATGTTAACTTGACAGACTTTTTTCATTATCTCAACAACTAGAAATAATTTGTTCATTCTTGCTTGTATAACAGTTTCTTTTATTAGAGAATGAATAATTGATGTCACCTATTAATAGGGAATACCTCCTAATTGTCTTCTTCTAGCTTTAAACCAACATTTCACCAATAACATGTTCTTTTCTCTGGAACATGTTACTGAAAACCCAGATCTGAAATTTAAAACTCAAGTATACAATAAATATATTTCTATACCTTTTATCTATCAGTTAATTCCTGTGCTTTAACCTTTGCCTTTTGGGGCCGGGGATTTAGCTCAGTGGTTCCGCTGCCTGCTCTGCAAACCTTTGCCTTTTGGTTAAATATGTTTTTACATTTAAAAAACATTGAAAAAAGTTTCAGATATCCAAAATATGTTGCTACTAACTTCAGAGCAACACTAAACATCTAAGATGAATGTTATCCAAGATGATAATTTGATCAGAATTAAAATTCCTCCACTGCAGAATTAAGTATTAATCAAAAGAGGAAATTATATGGGAAAGTTACTAGATTTTTTTATAATAAACTTTTTAATAGATTTTATAATAAACTTTTTAATGTCTCTAATATTGGATTGAGTCAGACCTAGAAAAAAATGCACATCTGTTTAACTGATAATCCACCAAGAGGTGAAGTGAAACTTGTAATGTACTTTAACTCTATAAAATAGTCTGATATTTATTTATTCCTTGGGAAACAATGAAACACTTTGCTATGCCTGGGAAGGAATATCACAGGAAAATTTGATATTAATGACAGGAAGAGAAATCTCTGAGAAGTAATTTATTCAGATGAGCAAATACTATTCAAATGAAGGAAGGTAAATAATGGAGGCAAGCTTCATTGGCCCTGGGCCCAAGATACTACTCTCTTTATTTTATTGAATGCTAGTAACTGATTATGAATGACTGCAATATGGATAGAGGTTAACGAAGTATACCATTTTTATAGATAAGATGAGAAAAAGGAAGAAAGATATATAGACATTCTTTATTATACTTTATATCATCAACTTTCCATTGCTGGGACAAAAATTCTTGAAATACAGAACTCAAAGGAGAAAAAGTTTATTGTACTTATGGTTTCAAAGGTTTCAGTCCATGGTTGGGTGAAACATTATGGTGGAAGGTCAGGGTCAACCAAAACTACTCACTTCATGGAAGCTGAGAAGGAAAGAAAAGGAAAGAGCCAGAGAGATATGAAGGGGTGGGGAATAGTATATACTTTCAAAGGCACATCACAGTGACCTATTTTTCCAACTGGACCCCACCTTCTAATAGCCTACTTTGCTATGAATTTATCAATCCTTTAATTGGTTGTGAGATTAGTGCCTTCAATATATGAGTCTTTTGGGGATACTTCATATTTTACCCATAACACACTTCTAGCCTTTCTCTTCTCTTTTTACATACATAATATGCTATCTAAATCATTAGCGTCCAGTATTCTGAGTAATGTTCATGAGTATACATCACAGTATTATAGGATGCACCATCAGGAAAGATTTTTATATCCAGAATTTTTCATGAAGATGGGAATTTATATTTTAGACATTTGTAAAACTAGACAGTACTTCTTTCTTTAGATTAGACTTACTTTTTGCTATTTTATTGTAAATTTAAAGTAAGTTGTTTGGCAGAAATTTCAGGCTATTAAAAATTTTTAATTTTAGTCCAAATCTGTTATACTGTTTCTTTAACATTAAAAATATTAATATTCCAATTATGATGCTGATTTTATCTCTATCTGCTGTTAAGATTTTTTTCTTTAATGTTTTGAATACATCTGACCCTACACTTTTGTGGGAATGAAAAGAAAATTTTTTTCTTCATAATTGTAGTGTTAAAAGGAATGTTCTAGTCACTTTTGTGGCCCTTTTAGGAGGAGGAAATGATTGGTCATGATTTGTAATTTTAATATCTCAATTGAAGTAGATTAATTGGTAGGAACATAAAAGAACAAGCTGACAAATTTAGGATAAGTTTAGATCCTAAGAACTTTGAATCATTTTATTATTTATAAAATGTAATATTTATTGTTTTAGAAAGACATATACATTTCATCTTGCAACTTAAGAATGTTCACTAACTTGTCACACTTTATTAGTCCCCTGCAGCAGAGGAAAGCAATGTTTTAATTTCTGTTTTTCAGAGATTGATAACTGACATACTGTCATAGAGAATGGCAATATTAATCATTCAAACTGTGACTGTATACTTAAGGTCTTCTTTGATTATCGCAATCTTAGTGGTTTAAAATAATATTCATTATTTCTTAGTTCAGTGGAATAGAAGACTAGGCATAGTGTAGCTGAATTTTTTGTTTCAGAATCTCACAGCTGTTAAGTTGGCTGTGGCTCAACTGGGGAAGAATCCATTTTCACACTGACATGTTGGTAGCATACACAAGGTCTGATCAAATTACACGGTAAATGTCAAAATTTTTAAAAAGGTTTTATGGAAAATTATTACAGACACATTGTCACTAATCCTCCTCAAAATATTTCCCCTCACTTAGAACACTCTTGTCTTATCATTCTTGCTAGTTTCTAAAACAGTTCAGGAAATTGACCTTATGAGGTATGATAAAAAGTACAATGAATTTTGCCAGTGAGTGCTGTCTAGTGGAAAGGCAGGCTGGTAAAAACACAGTGTGATCTCATCCACCTTATTCACCAGATCTGGCACTGTGTGACTTCTGGTTCTTCTCCAAAGTCAAAATGACCCTGAAAGGTAAATGTTTCTCATCAATTTGGGACATAACAGTACAACAAAAGACACTCAACTCACAAAAGAGGACTTCCAGAAGTGCTTCAGAAAGTGGCAAGAATGATGAAAAAAATGTGTTTGAAATGAGGTGGAGTAATTTGAGGGGGGATTTATGGCAATATGTGTTTTACTGTAACAAATTAAAAATTCTTGAACATTCACTATGTTTTTTGATCATGCCTCGTAGTCTTCTTGCAGGTTGTATGATTGATGGCCTCAGCTTCCAGATGGCTTTTGGCACAACAATGTCTCTCTGTTGTGTGCCATGTGATCCTCTCTATAGGTCAGCTCACAACAGAGCAGCTTGTGAGGGAGAGAGCCTTCCTATAAGATGAGAGACATAATCATATGTAACTTAATCACAAAAGCCTGTAAATTTCTTTTGATTTCTCCTTCAATTCTTTTTTAATATTAATTTTATTAGTACATTTTGTACATATTTGTACTTTTACTTAATCTATCTTGGTTCTTATTTTTTTTCCCATTCGCCTCCCCTCACTT